TGACAAATGAGTAAGCAATGGAGAGGAGCAAAGTTATTTTTTAAAATATTTATTTCTATCTTTTTTTTCTTTTCTGGGGAAGGATACAAGGGTGGAGGGTAGACATGGAAGGACTAGGAACTGAGTGGAATTGGAATACATGATGTAAAATTCCCAAAGAATCAATGAAAATACATGCTCACAGTAGTTGTATGTATTTTCAGGGTTCAATGTAACATTTCAATATGTCCTATTTTCTCTTTATTACATGTTGGCTTAAAGATTATCTGACTCAATGATCCTGAAATGTAGTGGCTGTTTGACCCATCTGGGAAGCTTTAAACATGGGCCCCAGCCACATTCCAGCACAGTTATGGAAAAAAAACAATCTTTCAAAGTGGACCAGATAACATCTTTTAAAAACACTTGCCTAGATTATCCCAGTGTCCAGTCAAGTTTGAGAAGCAATGATGCATTTTAATGTCATGTGTAACTTGGAAATTTGGGGTACAGGGCAGCTGGAGATGGGCAATGTTTTTGTTCTGTGAATGCTGGACTCACTATATTCCATTGGGGTACAGGGCAGCTGGAGATGGGCAATGTTTTTGTTCTGTGAATGCTGGACTCACTACATTCCATTGGGCTCATCAACACTGGCTGCCTACTGAGAAGGGCTGTAGTTACTTTCCCAGGAGATGAGAACAAGTTGCTAGACCAGTTTTTCAACTCTTGGGTGTTATATCTGATAAGGGAAGAAGGCTGGTAAGTACTAATGTGGGTGTAAATTAAAGCCAGGAGGCTGCCAGCACTTGGTATGTATAGAGGAAGTGGAATTAGAATAACTGACAAGAACATTTTACTGTTAGTGTATGAAATAACTCCTGAAGCCCAGGGTTGTAGCTAAGTGGCAGAATACTTATTTAGACTGTTCAAGGCCCTGGGTGCCTCCTGCCCCCCACAGAAGCTCAGGCACATGTGACAGAGAGACAGAAGGGTAGGAGAGAGAGAGAGAGAGATCCTTTTGAGTCTCACCCACAAAAACGAGAACACCAAAGAAAGTATATACTTATACTATAGGCAAAAAAAAAAGATAATTGGATTATGTTTTTGCTTTTTAAATTTTTTGAGATTATAACATAGTTACATTTCTCCTTTCCCTCTCCTCCCTCCCTACCCTCCTATATACTATTCCTTGGTCTCTTTCAAATTCATGGTCTTTTTTTCATTCATTGTGATTACACACACACACACACACACACACACACACACACACACACACACACACACACACACTCCTAAACATATCCTGCTCTTTCAGTATAACACTTTATTTGTATGTGTATTTTCAGGGCTGACCATTTGGCATGGATAACCAATTGGTGTGCTCATCCCTGAGGAAGCCTATTTCTCCCACTCGAGCATTCTTCAGTTGCCTGTAGTTCTGGTGCAGGGTTGAGGTATCTTGGGATTCTCCTCCTTCACTTTGGCATGTCCATCAGTGTCCTCCTTGTTCATCTCACTGTTGGGCAGTCAGATTGGTGAGGCTTCATGGTGCAGCTTCTGACATTACTAAGAGACACACAACTTCACAGTGAGTTCATGAAAATCTTCTGACTTTTGAGAATATAGTGCAAACTGGAGTTCCACCATTGCTGCTCAGTAGAACTCAGTATGAATTGACATGCAAACCCTCATTGGCCAAAATACTTGCAGCTCTCACCAGTAACTTAGAGAGACAGTCAGAGGGTTCATCTCAGTACTCTTTATGCATTTTTAAAAAATCACTTTGATATATTAAAACATAGTTTTGTATGACTTATGAAAGGGATTCTGAACAACTGTACACTCAGCCAAAGACATGATGTCACTTTAGGGCTAGCTTAAGGAACCTGTGAGTTTATTGGGATTATTACAAGAGCTTGGGTAACTCAAAGGCAGCTACGTCACTGGAAAGCCCATCCAGTATGAGTGATGACTCCTTAAACTGCATTCTAGGAGGTCTCTACACAACAGGCAGAGAGCTAGTTCTCCCTACAGCAACTGTTTCTGTGCATGTAACTTTAGGGAGAATTGCCTGCTTCCCAGTAGCTTCCTGAATCTCCTCCTAAGTTTTATTTACTCCTTGAATTTTCATTGGGAGGCCATACAGCTCCACAACACACAGCAAATACCACCCCTGGGGGAAGTTATCTACTTTTGTGTATCATGAGTATATTTCCTTCACCTTTTTCCATTCATGGCCTGTGTGCAGAAATACATACTTTCCTTTAAACATGCAAGTGCTATACGAGGGGTGTGTCTGCCTCATTTCTTAACAAATGGTTTTCTTCCCTTTCCTTTTCTCGGTTTAATTCTTCATCTCATCCCGAGGTCAGAAAAGTACTTGGAAGGGAAAATCTTGGACTTCCTTCAGATACATACACCCCAACTAGGATTCTCCCAATTTGCCTGAAAAGAAGAAATGGACAGTTTCTCCTCGCTGCTTCAAAGGAGCAAAAGGAGACCAGGATTTTTGACAGTTTCATAAATGCATACGTGTTCTCATCACTCTATTCCCCACACCCTCTCTAAAACTCCTTCCATTCCTGTCCCTATCAACCTTTCTCAGCTTCAAGACTTCTTATTTTTTTAAAGTTATTTTTGAAATTATAACATCATTTCTTCTTTGCCTATCCTCCCACCAAACCTTCCCACATACCCTTCCATGCTTCTTTCCAGTTCATGGCCTCTTTTCTCATTTATTGTTGCTGCATGCACATTTTATGTAAATATATATACCTGAATATAACCCACTCTGCCTGCATACTGTTACTTGTGTGTATGCTCTTGGAGCTAACTGCTTGTGATTCATTTAGTTGAAACAGGGCCATCTGTGTGACCATTAGATGGGATTATTCATTGGAGCCCAATGGAGTCACCAGTCTGATTTCCTCCTCCTTGAATCATTCAGTAGCAAATGACTTAGCAGTGAGGATCAGGGCCCCAGAGCCCTTCCTCCTTCCATGGCTAACTGTTAAAGGGCCCATTCTTGTACTGACATGGTGCGAACGTCTGCAGTTGCTGTGAATTTGTGATGTGTTTCCCATAATGTCCATGGACCATCAGCATCTGAATTACTGAGGACCTTGCTAAAAGTCAGTGTTCAAAGCTTTTTTTTTTTTTTTTTTTTTTTTTTGGTTTTTCGAGACAAGGTTTCTCTGTGGCTTTGGAGGCTGTCCTGGGACTCGCTCTTGTAGACAAGGCTGGCCTCGAACTCACAGAGATCCGCCTGCCTCTGCCTCCCGAGCGCTGGGATTAAAGGCGTGCGCCAACGCCTGGCTACAGTGTTCAAAGCTTAACTCCAAAGCCATCAAGACTAAATCTGTGAGAATAGGTCAGAATATTGATCTTCCAATGTTCCCCATCTACACACAACCGAGTTTTTAATCTATGACTCCTGGGTATTATATCATACTACCTCAAAGGAAGCACACTGTGGAGACAAGCAGTTTGGCTTGTTCCCCTAAATGTCCCATCACCCTGTACTGGCATTTGCAAGACTAAGTACATTCTGGTTAAGTACATTCTGGTTAAGTACACGGCCAGGACAGAGCTTTATAGTCTTACAAGGAGATGCTTTAGAGGTCAGCCAGGAACAAATTAACATAATTGAAACAAGGCTCTACTGTTCATCAGTGTTTGCTCAGGGTCAGGAATGCTTTAAAATTCCCAAAGATAACGAAGAAATACTACTTCCTTATTTCACTGTGGAGGATAACTGAGTGCTGGAAGCTGTTTTCATCTGAAGCACGCAATAATGATAAATATGGAATAGCAGTGGCCAGCCCCACTGCAGCAAGGTCAGACACCACCCTGATACCAATATGTCCCTTTCACCATGCTGTTCGGTCTCTCTTGTGAGAGCAGAAATTCCCACAGTTGTGGTCATTTTGCTAAACCAGACAGGAAAACAGTATTTTCGAGTAAAACAAACAGCTGTTACCAAGGATGGACTAGAACTTACACATACGAGCTTTTTCTCATAATGACTAGTATCCAACACCAACCTCAGCATAGACTAATGTGGCATGGGCACTGACCAAGAGTATCCTCAAGCTTAGCCATATGTGCATACATGGGAATGTATATATGTATGTATGTATGTATGTATGTATGTATGTTTGTATGTTTGTATGTGTTATCCTTGGGGGTAAAAGAGGAGAGACTGGTGAATGTGGTGAATGGGAGGGGGGAATCTAGAAAGGAACAAGAACACAAATTCTGAAGCCCTAGTGATTTCCTCTTGTTCATTCCTATTCTCTTCTAGAAGTGTTTCAAGTCAAAGGCACCAGGCCTCCCTCTGAGATAAGTTGACAATAACAACTCAAACACAGATGGAGGTGACCACTGTCCCCGCAGATGCTGGCATTCCAAAGGAAATGTGCCAACTAATAGCGCTGTTCTTTAAGGCTTCAGCCACCTCAATCTCACATTGTGATCTGTGTTCCACAGCCTTAGAGCTACAATAGCCCAGGGGAGGATTTAAAGTAGACACAAATCCTTTTTCAGTTCACACACACGGGAAACTGAGGTCCTGGCTGGGGGTGAGGGGATTGCCAAGGAGTTTGAGAACAGCCGAACTGTTTTCCAGGGCATGACACATTCTACCCGACTTACTTGTTTCTTCATGTCTGATCATCCATGGGAAGGAAATGAGGAATAGCGTTTTGAGAACTTGAGGTGGTCACAGCACCCAAGTGCCCCTCATTTCAGTTTTGGAGAAGGAATGCAGGTGTGAGGGCGGGCGGATGGAGACCTCACTAGACAATCGTGGGGCTGGAGCCAAACACATCATTAAAAGAATCGGGTCTATAGTCAAGGGTAAGAAGAGGTGCAAAGACTGTGCTTAAATGGATGGGAAACCATGAGGTCTAAGGGCTGAAAGGAGACCAAGAGAGGAGATTGGAGTCCTCAGCTATCCTGGCCTCCGGCTGCTCCTCTAATCTGTAACTCGCTCAGGCCACACCCAGTGCCCGCCCTGCTCTCCCGCCGGCGGTTTTCAGAGCAGAGTAGGAGTTTTCCTTTGAGAGCTGGAGAAAGGAGAACGTATGAATGACCCCCTCGCAGGAATTGAGCCCGGGAAATCCCGGGGACGCGCCGGGTGTTCTCCGCTCCCGGTGGAGTGTGGGCCGCCCTTGGATCCTGGCGCCCGGGATCCGACGCTGGCGGGGACCGACAGGGACCTAGCAGCAGCAGGTGGGGATGTGAGATCGCGGACGGGAGAGAATTTGGATTGCCAGTCCTGGGTCAGAGAGAAAGTGCTCTTTCTTCTGCACCCCGAGAGGTGGCTGGGAACACAAACGGACCCTGCTTGCGCAGAGCTGGCGGGCAGCGAGGACCTGCCCCCGAGGATTGGAGACCGCCGCCATTCGGAACCGGAACCGAGGCTTTCCCGAAGGCGCATTGCCACGATTCCCGGAGCCCAGCGCCGGGACCCCGCAGCCACACCCAGGTCCGTGTTGGTGCGGGTCGTGGATTACCAGGAGACGCAGGAGGTGCAGCGGACTGCGTGGACCAAGGGTCATATGACCACGAGGACTGAGGAGCGCTCTGTGACCGCAGTCACCTTTCGCACCCAGAGTGAGTGACACAGTTTGTGGAGCACCGGGGCCCCAGCAGAACCTGAATGCATCGCGCATTGCTATTCCTCACCAAGGACCGGAATCCCGGGGGGAGATGAAACACAGATTCCTTGAACCTGAAAAATGTTTCATGCTGTGTTTCGAGAAAATGCTCTAAGAACCCACTCTCAGCAAACTTAGATTTCCTCGGTGGCGTCAGTGTCTCCCAGTGGTTTAAGAGAACAAAAGGTATTTTTTTTTACATTGACGGCCTATGGAAGTTCGGAAGTACAAAACCTGAGTGCACTTGTTGGCGTTGTTGGAAGTAACTTGTATTGCTTGTCTGCGTCTCTCTTACCTGTTGAGCACCCCCCCCCAAAAAAAAAAAAAAAACAACGCAAGGGATGCTTGAGGTCTGCCCTGTAGGATGTGTGCGGTGTGGGAAGTGCAGAGAGTGGCTTGCATTGAAAGCCTTAAGAACTTTTTTTAATATATAGAAAAAAATAAAACGAAACAGGAAGTGAAGCAAAATGTTTCTATATACTCTCTAGTGGTATGCAGCTCCCACTCTCTTTCTTCCTATTTCCGTGTTAAGAGGAAAAGGAGTTGGGAGGATTTTTTTTCGGGGTGGGGTGGGGTGGGGGATTGGCCTGAGCTTCCAGGGTATCTAACCTAGTTTACTGTTTAATAAGTTAGGCAGACATTCTGTATGCAATATGTCATAAACGGTTGTTTGAGTATTTTTGTTTGCTTTTGTTTTTTTATTAGATTTATTTATTTATTTTACATCCCGATCACAGTTTCCCCTCCCTTCTCTCCTCCCAGTCCCCCATCCATTCCTCCACTGCTTCTTTTCAGAAAGAAATATACCTTATTCTTATCCACAGTTTTTAACAACTAAGAGTTTTAGTTAAGGCTAAACAATAACTCTGCTCTTTTTTTAAAGTTTAGTTTTATTTTTATGATCTTCAATCAGATCTATGTGGGTGTGTAAGTATGAGTGCTGGTAGGTGCCTGGAGGAAACTGAGAATTGGGCATTGAGTGCTGGGAACCAAACCTGGTCTCTGCAAGAGCAGTCTGCACCCTTGACCAACGAGCCCTCTCGCCAAACTCTTCCCCGTATTTAAAATGATCTAAGGCTAGTACTTGGTTCTTTAATGTATTCCCTTTGTCATTAGATGCCGGCATTAAAAATGACTTTATTCTTTTGTTTATGTGAGTGTTTTGCTTGTACATACATCTGCACACAGCTAGTGTGCCTGGTACTCCCAGAAGTCAGCCCTGGATCCCCTGGAATTGGAGTTAGAGATGGTTGTGAGCCACTGTGTGGGTGCTGGGTATTGAACCTGGGTCCTTTGCAGGAGCAGCAGGTGCTTGTAACCATTGAGTCTTCTCTCCACCACCACATAGTTACTAAGTTTTTAGTGTTGGGACATAGTTTGGGATTCCGAGGAGCTAAACAAAAAGCTCTTGGAGATTGGTAAGGGGTCCCTATGGGAGGGGTGTTTGGTGGCCCTCAGGTAACAAAGGAGAGGGGCTCTACTTTGGGGAGGAAGCTTGAACAGCTGCTCTATTCCGGGTCCTTTTAGCTGTCTTCAGTTTAGAGCTAGACGGGCCTTCGAGCCATCATCTCATCCACCTCTTATCTTCTGGCCAGATAGCATCCTTCTTTTACAGATGAGCTAAGCTTGGCCTAGAGGTCACACAGCTTGTGTAGCTCATCAGCAAGTGTTTGCATGTGCTTACTAAGTAGACAACAAATGTGGTCATCTCCCCCATAAAGATTTGTGGATGGTGTTTGCTTCCTCGCACCTCTAAGGATCCAGATATGCCCAAGCAGGAGAAGTTGAGTTCTAGAACAGTCTGTGCTGCACAGGGACACCCTGTCTCAAAAGGGGAGCTATCCGGGTTTCTAATACAGGTTTAGGAAAAGTATGAGAGTCATCTTTATCCCTGAATCCTGCAAGGCCTGGGAGAGCTTCCCAGAGGAAGGATGTTAGTCCTTGTGCTTAGCCACAGAGCCTTTGAGTAGTTGCAAAATGTGATGTTGGCCCCCATTAAATTCCCCTTTTGCCAGAACTTCTTCATGGCCTCTTTGTAAGGCTAATCATGACTGGTAAGTGGCCTCCACACTTGTGGAATCAGTCCTAGGTGACTGAGCACTGAATGGAGACAAGAAAAACAACTCTTTTGCAATGATCCGAAACAGTAGCATCCTTCAGCTCTCAGAAGGCAGGCTGTGGGAGTTTTGTGGCTCATACCAGCCCTTTGTTAACTAGTGACCTTGGGCAAGGTGCCTAATCTCTATATCTTTGCTTGTTAAGTGGGGATAACAAAAGCTGAGCTTTGGGGGTAGGATTTACTTAAAATACTTAGAATGCTGTAGTACATGCTCAAACACTAACTCCTGTGATTTCCTAGTTCAGTTGTTAACCATTTAACCCGATTTTCTCAGTTTTTTTTTATTTAATAACATAGATATAATATAGAAATCAAATAACAGTATAGGAATCAAAAACAAAGCAAACAACCACAAAACAACGGAAACTGGTCTAGTGGATTTTACTAAGACCTCCTATACCCTGGAAATACTTTTTATTTTTATTTTTTTGGTTTTTCTCAGCATTAATGGATCAGTGCATATATTTTCCAAATTACTTAGAATTGATTCCTACACTATGTGGGAGGCTTCAGCTAAGGCCAGAGGACCATGGTCACTATGCTTAAGCCTGTCAAAACTTTGAATAATTGTTTTTTTTATTTTTTTGTTTGTTTGTTTTGGCAGGGTATTGCTATGTAGTCTTGGTTGGCCTGGGAGTCCATATAAATCAGACAGGCCTCAGATCTGCTTGCCTCCAGAGTGCTGGGGCTAACGGCATGTGCCATAACACCCCATACTGAAAAATAATTTTTAAGCTACTTCTCTAAGCCCCCAGCTGGCTGTCTGCAACATGTTTACAGGCTTAAAGTAGATGTCACATTGAAAGTGAATGTGGTTGCTGAACTGTCTTGATTTGTCTTACAGGTGAAGAACACTTATCATTTCACAAATGTCCCAGGAAGAGCATCCAAACTTGTCCTCAGTGCTAAGGAATCTCTCAGATGACCAGGTCTCGGCTCTTTGGCTTAACTTCTACCTCACAGCAAAACGAGTTCATCTGAAATTGTCTTTGTTAGATGAATTGCATCCAAGACTCCCAGAGGCTCATTGGAGCGCATTATGACTGGGACAAATGTCAAAGTCAAATAGCCCCCATGGATCAGGCCAGTGTCTACCTCTTTTTTTATTATTAATATGTATTTTTAATTTTTTTGAGACATTGTCTCCTTGCGTAACCCAGGCTTACTTTGGACTTGGTGTCTAGCCTGTGATGATTGACCCTGAGATTTTTCTCAGCCTCCCACACGCTGGGATGACAGTGTGTCCCGGAATGTTTGACCTCCACCTCTCTTTAACCCCCTTTTCCACACCTGTTATTATCTGTGATAGTCATTATATTTGAGTTGCTGCTGTTGTATTGAGGAGCCTTATGAGTTCTTGCTATTAAAACTCACTGTGACTCTTTTTTCTTCCTAAGATTTTTACATTTTAAAGTTACTTTATGTATGAGTGTTTGCCTGAACGTTCATGTGTGTACAGTGTGTGGGCCAACCACCCACAAAGAGCAAAAGAAGGTATTAGATTCTCTAAAACTAGAGTGTAGGTGGTTGTGATCCTCCATGTGTGTAATTGTAATTGACGCCAGGTACTCAGTAAGTGCAGCAAGTGTTCTTAACTGCTGAGTCATCTGTTTAGCCCCAAAAGTGACTCTTAAAAGAAGAAAACAATAAGCTTTATTTTCAAAATAAATTGTTGGGGCCCAGTATGGTAACATAAGCCTTTAATTGCCACAATCTAGAGCTAGGAGGATCTTTGGGATCCCAAGGCCAGCAGAGATACATATAGTGAAACCCTGTAATAAACCAAAACAGTAAAAGAAAAGAAAGGAAATGAGAAAATGTTTGCTCATCTAGAAAAAAATTAAAGAAATATTATGGGGCTAATAAAGATAGATTAAAAGACAACTGATATTATCCCAAATCTCTTTTAATATTTAATATCTCTTAAATATGGTTTTATTTTAATTTTCTTCACGTGTATTCTTATGTTGACACAAAACATACAGTTTTTACCTCAAAAGGAATAAAAGCTAGTTCATTCTAAAACCAAACATGGGTGACAATGGCCCAGGAACGCAATGATTCAAGTTATGCCCAAATCCATGTGCCAATTTAGTTTCATGACATTTTTATACTATCATAACGCCAGAGTACTTCATGAATCAATCCATAGGCTTTTAAAATATACTGGAGGAATTATCAGGTAGGTGGGTACAGCAAATTGGGAAATTTCTGTTATAGCTCTCAGACGCCATCTGATGTCATTATTAGCCTTTGGATTGGTGGACGCCAAGAGCCTGTACATTCTAAGAATGTTAGATCACACATAGAGGTGGACTTACATAACCCAAGACATGTTGGGCCTTGGCCTGCAACATCCAAACTCTCTATAACCATTCAAGTCGTAGTTAATCAGCACTGTGAAGCCACTCAAAGTGTGGCTTTCATGTAATAGTTTCAGCTAATGCACATCTTTGCATTTATTTTATTGTAAGCCTAAATTATATATATATATATATATATATATACATATACATATATATATAAATGGTCCTGATGTAACCCCTGTGTATTTTTGGAGGAATGCTTTTATGTAAGTGGGCTGCTTGGTTAGCTGGGTAGTTCGAGAAGGAACAAAACTTTGCCTCCACCGAGTCCCCTTCGGTCCTAGAGTTTTTATCACAACAGCAGAAAGGAACCAGAATGATAAGCTCATAAAGGGGTCAGTGTCCGGTGTCACTGGAGATCTAGTGCAAGGGACCCCCCAAGCAGAGAAGAGCAGGACATCAAGTCCCCTCTTCTCTTACTGCCCTGATGAGTCAGCGTGCTTTCCCGCAAAGATCCCTGGGTGATTCACATTAGAGCTTCACAAACATTGACCTATCCCTCAGGTTTACTTCAATACATCAGTCACTTACTACAATGAAAAATATAATTAAAAAATATTATTTATTGTTAGCAATGCCAGGGCAATAACAATGCAGGATTATGGGACTAGAGTTCATAAAAGGGAATAAAAAGTTCATAAGGGATTTGTAAACAGCCGTATTATTCTGTAATTGTCCCTATTGAACTATTGACTAACTATTGGATCTCTTAACCGGGAAAGAGTCTTTCCTTATCAAAGAATAAGATGTGGTTTATTGTCACAAGCCCCCAAGGGAGGGCAGGACAGGAAGTCATTAAGGGCAGCACAGTTGCAGACCTCTGCCGCTGAGTCACAGTTGCAGTCACTCATGATGAATTGCAAGGGAGTGGGGCAAAGGCGGGGCTTGAATTTCAGTCAAATGATTCAGGTAAGAAAACAGGGCTAGGACTCTAGGACACTCTGAAACCTCCATCGCCACAGCCAGTACTTTGCTCTTTAATCAGAAAGGGTGACTCTTTATGAATTTATTTCTTGAAGTAATCTCATAAATGGAGATAAGGAAAGGAAAAGTCCAGATTACTTGGCGCAGCATAAGGAGGTGTGTTCAGGTGATAGGCACTGTTCCAGCCAGTAGTTCCCAGTACAGTAAGAACAGTTATGCTCAGAACAAGGAAGTCATTTAAAAGCAGAGTCTGACTTCTCAGCTAAAAAGAGAATAGTAGTTGGCTGGAGAGAGGTTTGCTCAGCAGCTAAGGGTACTCGTTGCAGGATCTGAGTGAGGTTGTGAGCATCTCACAACCACTTTTAACCCCAGTTCCAGGGCCTCTGGTACCTTCTTCTTCCTCCTCAGGCACTAGTACATGTGAGACACACAGTCACACACATGCACATAAGTAAAAATTAAAATCTTAAGAAAACAGAAGACGTTGTAATAATGTTAACAGAGTTGACCAGCATCTCTCAGGCTAACTGGAAGCAATAGTGCCCAGGCAGTGGGAAAATTTTACATGGTCTCTTAACTTGACTAAGGGCCCATGAACCATTTCTTTGAAATGGAGTCATTGAGGAAGGGAGGGCCCCAAATTCTCTTTCCCTCTGTGGGAGAATAGAAGTCTAGCTTATTTGTCAGTTAACAAACACAGATGGCCTAACCACATTGAGTAACCTGTCTCCAAAATTCTTTAGTACATTCTTAGCAATTAAGTTTATTCTCCCTTCCCTATCATAAAGATCTCCAATAAAGTCTTCATGTTTTGAATCTATATGGGCAAATTTTCTTTAACAGTAAAGAGGAAACAGAAAAAGGGAAGGCTTGAGGTGTACTGCTTTCAAATCCTTGGCATTAAGAATTTGGCGGGAGATGCTTTCTAGAAAGACAACTTGTCATAGGATGCATTTGAATCAGGGAGGGGCTGAGTGACAAGGTGGACTTATTGGAAAGCTGGCAGTTATTGAGTAATTCTGCCATTATGGATAGATGTCAGGAGAGGCTGAGTGGCATTCTGTCAGCATTGTAGTAATTCTCTAAGATTAAATTTAATGAAAGCTACTCAGTAGCTGCCATGTGATAAACACCCAAATTAGCTATTATTATCATAATAGTGATCAGTCATGGTAGTCACGTTTACTTCTCTCTTCATTCTAATCAACTGTATTTTACTTATTATTTATTTATTATTGTGTGTGTGTGTGTCTCTGGGGATATTGTGCACTCAACTGTAGGTGCCCTTGAAGGACTCTGAACCCTTCAAGTTGGAGCTATAGGCAGTTGTAAGTCAATCAACAAAGATGCTGGGAAACAAACTCAAGCCCACAGCAAGAGTAGGTTCTGATCTTAGGCACTGAGCAATCTTTCCAGTACCCCAGGCTGTACTTTTTAATGACAAAAAGCCGAATACTTGCGACAGTTTCTGCAGAGACCCTTTTCTTTCTGTTTTCAATTGTCTCCATGTAAGGCTGGCCACTGTCAGCCTTGGGCTGGGGACAGGATCTGGAAGAATGCTTGCCTGACATATCTGAGGCTCTAAATATGGTCCTCAGTATATCCACCAACTCCAGTAAATGGAGTGACTATAGATTCAGTCTTTTAGTAAATTTGGGTTTTGCATGTATTGGAGATTAAACCTAAGTCTTTGCAAATACAAAATATGCTGCCTTCTGGACACATCCAGCCCTCTTCAATTAAGAAGTATAAGGGGTCTGGGAGTTAGAAAGCTTTTGTCATGGAATAATAGCAAGGCTGTAAAATAATTAAGACAGGGCTGACCTTAATGCTGACCCAGATCCGAGAACTTGTAAGGATTTGGGTGTCAGAAACTCTCCATCCCATTGTGTAGGAAAATTACAAAGGCATAAGTGAAATAATCTTATAATAAAATTTTCATCGGGGATTATGTTGGAGTAGAAGGAAGGAATCAGCAACCCATACCCAGGGTTGAGCCAAGGTTTAAGAAGTGGGGATGAAGGCGGGCGGTGGTGGTGCACGCCTTTAATCCCAGTACTTGGGAGGCAGAGGCAGGCGGATCTCTGTGAGTTCGAGGCCAGGCTGGACCGATAGCCTCCGAAACAATATAGAGAAACCCTGTCTCATAAAAACCAAAAAAAAAAAAAAGAAGTGGGGATTTTATTATCACTTTGTGTTTAGTGATAAAACACTTTTGATAGCTATTGATCTGATTTTTATTTATTTTAAAAATTTAAATAAACTTTATCATTAAAAAACTTGCTAAGAAATAAGTAAATAAAAACAACACACATTAAAATTAACCAGACCCAAAGTCTACACAACATGTATGAAAACCTGACGTGTGAAATTTAATGTGAAGGTCTGAAGCCTCCATTCCGAATGCCTAGTCTAGCTGTGTGTGTATGAATTTTATTCATGCAAATGTAAATTTGAAAGTAGCACGTTTGAATTTCCCTTTACCATTTTTTATGCTGAAGTTTATTTTAAGGAGAAGTATTTACTGCCCCCCCAACACACAAACAAAACAGACAAAAAATTTTTCACCTCATGTGTTTATCTCTTCCTCTTCCTCATCCTGTTTCTACATTTCAAGAGTAGATTTGACTAAGGTGGCACTCAGTGACACAGCTTTTATCTAAGACAGTTTCAACTTTCAGCTTTGCACAAATAAATTAGAGGGTGGAACATGAAACAGTGGGTAAAGGCACTTGCTGCCAAGGCTGACGTCCAGAGTTCAAGCCCATCTTGAGAAAAAGATGCACACATGTGTACACTCAATAAATACAATATAATAAGAGTATTTAAAACAATTTTAAATATTGTGTGTAAGACTTAAAATAGAGAAACAATAAATTGTAGTGTTTTTTACTATATATGTATGTACATTTTTATTAGACATGAATGGCTTGAACAAGAAATTCTTTATTTTATAATCATTATTAAGAGAATGAATCAAGGAAAAACATATTAGTGGAAATTAGTTTTCTCAGTGGTATCTTCTGCAGACAGTTTTAGCTCTAATGAAGTTTAATTACTAGTTACTTTGCAATTACACAAAACCATGTTTGTTATTTTACTCTCTGACCACAGCAAAGATGGCTCTGTGTTTTGCTTTGTGCTTATCACTAAACATTATTATCTCCCCTGCTTCTGGTGGCAGACAGAGCATGTGAGCCTGACTAGTGTGTAGTCACAGTCATAAAAATAGAAAGCTGACACGGTTGTAACTGGTTTAAAACTTGGGTCTCCTGATCTCTGGTACAAGACATTTTCATGGCTCCCCAGGTAAGAAAAACACACCTACCAGCTAATTTTCATTGGGGGTTCAGAATTGACTAAAATACTAGTGAACCCCAGTAATAAACTAAGAGCAACTAGGAAAGTGTATTTCTGTGTGTGTGTGTGTGTGTGTGTGTGTGTGTGTGTGTGTGTATTTAAACAGCAAAGTGAGACCAGTAAGTTACATTTCTTTATTTCCTTTAACTCTGGCAAGTCAGGGCACCTGAGGACCTCCTGTCAAAAGACTTTGTGGATAATGATGTGTTGAGGAAGCTCTAAATGGCCTAACTTTTTCTGTCCTTACTGACCTGCAGATTCTTCCCAATGAAGATGATAGGGACTTCTCTCTTGAGGTTTGCATTGAGAAATGCTCTTGTAAAGTTTTTTCCCTTTGAAATTCAAGTCTTTTTAAAAAGATCTCTGGCCAGTTTCACAGATGTGGACTGTGTTTCTTAAGGGTCTAAGAGCTTTTCTTGAGATAGGACACTCTGACTCCTAGTCTGTGGGAAGCAGCAGCTTTTCAAAGGAGGCCCAAGGGCTGGGGCTGCCGCTCAGTGGAGGACTGCTTGCTTTCATACACAAAGTTCTGGGTTTTATCTGTAGCAGTGGATGAAAAGAAAAGGTCAAATGGGCACCAAGTAGCAAGAAATGTGTGAAAATTCAGGAGTAATCCAGCGAGCTGAACACAGCCTATTGGCCAACCTCCAGTACTTTTCCATGGCACACCTCACTGCTGAAAGCATTTCTGCTTTGCTCTTCTGCACAGTTGGGTTCTGACCAAGTTCTAGTTTATTACAATACCCTTAAATAAAGTCTTCTTTGTCTAGTGCAATTCTCACTTAGATATGAACTGATAAGAGCAGGGAGAAGTACATCCATTGATGGTGGGAGAGTACATTTGACTTCATAAAAGCTGGAGATGTTTTTGTGTCTGGGGGACAACATGGTTTCTTTGTTCTGCTGCCAAGGGTCCCCTGTATTTGGCTTCATTGGGATTTTAGATGACTAACCACAGGCTTGTGACTGCACATTCTGGATATGCCAGAGCACAGATGAATACTTTCCTTTTCAAAACAAGTAGTATCATTAGTAATAATACTTGTGTGTGTGTGTGTGTGTGTGTGTGTGTGTGGGTACTTATATGATGTATGGATGTATGGGTGTAGGTACACATGCCATGGCATACTTGTGCAAGTCAAAGAACAGCATCTGTGGAGTCAGTTCTCTCTTTCTACCTTTATATGAGTTCTGGGGATCAAACTTATGGTGCCAGGCTTCCAAGTGACTTTACGCCTCCCCCACAATCTGGTAAGACCCTGATTAACTAATACTTTCTGATCTCCGCAAACTGGCTGCATTCACAACCAATTGTCTGTTACTAGCCACTGCTTGTTTATTCTCATAATGAAAACAATGACTTATCTTTAGTGTGTACATTACCTAGAGCTGAGCTTACTGCAGCTGTGATATATTCATGGATATTATATAGTTCCCTGACCATAAACCCCAACTATGACCCTAGATTGGTGATCCTTAGATGTCTCATGACTAAAAGACCATGTCTGCTTCATTTTGAGGTTCTTTTTGTGATGTTATACATTCTTTTTTTTTTTTTTTTTTTTGATAGGGAGCTTTCTTCTATAGCAGTTACCAGAGAAGGTGACTAACTGTAAAAATCATCATGAAGGATTTAGTCAAATACCATAGCGGTAGGAATGAAGGCAAGGAAAGCTTTTTGTGCCAAGGACCACAGAGCTCACCAAGAACGGGGGCTGTGGTAAACTCACAGAGCCGAGGCTCGGAGCAGAGCACATATCTTATGAGGCATTGGTTGCATGGTAAAGCCAGTGTCTGGCGTTAGATCCAGGTCCAGATGGGAGACTCCAGGGGGTGGTAGGAAGGTAAACTTCTGCATGAGACTGGCGAAGAAGAGGAAAAGTTCCATTTTTGCCAGTGATTCACCAGCACACATCCGGCGACCTGGAGACACAGATACCATCGGAGGTTAAAGACATCAGCACAAAAACCTGAACAACCCTGGACAAAGATAAGATCAGAGCACACATTCTCCTCCATGTTGTGTTGGGGTACCCTGAATTGAGGAGGGGTCCCCAAGCTGGATTCATCACCCCAAGAATCAAGAGTCCACGCGCCAATTGATGCAACACGCAAGAGGCTTTAATTAGGCACCTGCAGATGGGTCTCTCGGTCAGCTTTTAGACCGATTGGCCCCGAGGTTCAGTTACAATCAGCTTTTAAAGACAAAAACCACAAGCCGTTGGGAGCGGTCCTATCTTGTGACGGGGGGGGGGGGGTATATGACTACTGACCAGGGGAAGTAGATGTCTTCCTGACCTACACGTTGTAAATTCCTCAAACCTTGGTATGAGTTAATCATCTCTCCCTAAGTAAATGGTGGTTCCCACAAATCTTGTTTGCCCATCTCTGATGCCCTGGTCAGTTCTTCACAGGTGGTCAGCAGCCCGGAATTGGCCTTTTGTGGGTTTACAGCCCTTCTACAATTAAGGTTGCTAAACCATACATTCCATTCTGTGGTTTGGCCAGTTCCTGGGATGGGGTCCTTTGCTCACTTCCCAAGTTCTCTAGTGGGGTGCCCTCCCTGTTTAAGCTTATATTTTATTTCTATAAATTTGGGGTCTTTCATTGGAATGAGTGGGTCTGTCATCAATCTGTTTGAGCATTTTAGGTTCTGTTTCAAAATAAGGCCTGGAAAAAAAGACATCCAATGACAGCTTTAATGGTGGAAAAAAAGCAATTCAACATAATAAATTTTCCTCAATGTTTTTTGTTTTCGTTTTTCTTTTTTTAAAATAATACAACCTAGAGTCACTTGAGAAGAGGCAACCTCAATTGAGGAATTTCCAGATCAGATGACCTGTCATGTTGTCTCTGAGGTGCTGTCTCAATTGATGTGGGAAGGCTCTGCCCACTGTGGATGACATCCTCCCTAGGCAGGTGGGTGTGGGGTGTATGAAAACTCTGGCTGAGCCTGAGCCAGTGGTGGAGCCTGAAAGCATGTCTCCCTAAGGCCTCTGGTTCCAGGTTCCTGTCTTGAGTTCCTGCCTTGACTTCCCTCAGTAACTCAATATGACCTGGAAGTATAAGCCTTTCCTCTCTAAATTGCTTTTTTGGTCATGGTGTTTATCACCATAATAGAAAAAAATTAACAAGAACAATATTTTAATTTGAAAACATCTTTTGACAAAGTCATGTGCACCAGGAGATCATGTGTAAAAGCAAGTACAAGGTATGTCTTCTAAGTAAGTCCACCCACAAGCTCACGTTTAATGTCAATAGGACAGCTACGGAACTTGATTTAGAGTCTCCTATTGTTCCCAGAGATTTACTGTGTAGCAGGTGACTTACAGATGAACAGTCAATTGTAATACAGTGTCACCAGTCATGAGGAGACCTGGAGAAAGACACCCAATAAGCCAGGGAAGGCTCCTTCTTTGAGTGAGAGCCTTATAACTAAGCTTTGATAGAAATTTTCCATGTGACGGAAGGAAGGTGGAGATGAGGTCCTTGCTCCATTGGCTGGATGAGATTTGACTCTCGCTACACAGGGAGCACCAGGTACATTGTCTTTGATCTGAGGAAGGAGTAGGAACTAGGTCACAGTGATCTTGAAAATGATATTGAGCTGCAGAAGCATTTTGGTAAGAGAGACCTAGCTGGTATAATTCTGAAATGTAAATTGTTAGAGAAAGTGAAATAAAATTGAGAAAGGAAACTCTCCTGGTAGAACCTTATTAAAACAATAGGCTCTTGGTAGTTAGTTATATTTCCTAGATTGTACTGTATGAAGAATGATCTTATCTTTAGAATACATATGAGTTTTGAATTCATTTTGTAGACTAAAGGTATCATATTTGAGTGAAATGAAGCTTTTTGTTTGCTTGTTTTTGTGACAGGGTTTCTCTGTATATTCTAGGCCATCCTGGAACTCACTTTGTAGATCAGGCTGACCTTGAACTCACAGAGATCTGCCTGTTTCCTGCCTCCTAAATGCTAGGATTAAAGGTGTGCACCACCAACGTCCTGCCTGAAATGCTCTGCATTTTTTGTGTGTAATCTGCTCTCAGTCCTTCTGAAGAAACAGGTCTATTTACCCTGCTCCCAGGGGGAGGACTTGAACATGCTGTTTACTTTATGACCAGTAATTTTTGTATTTAATGCAGTTGTAGATCTCTGTTTTATTTTTTTGAACATAAATTGTGAGTGTACAAAATCATGGAAGACTGCTATTTTATAGCAGAAGGAAAAGATCTTATGTTAACCTTTTGGTTTGAGACCTACGGGAATAGAATAACTCTACATATCACTATGCATTTTCTTATTGGGCACAGGAATGAGGCAAGATTTTTTTATGGGTGAAAAGTCATGGGTATTTCCTCTCTGTTTGGAAACATCTGTAAAACAGCTAATCACTCAGTCCACAAGCAGGTTTATTGTGCTTGGCTTAGAGACTGCTATTGTTCTCATGGCCTTGACTGTGTAACAGATGACCCACAGGTAAACCTATAATTATAATATAGTGTCACAACCATGGAGAAAACTGTGGAAGGGTCAACTAATATAGGTTGGGGTTAGATCTTTCCATCTCCCAAGAAATAAGGACATAATTGAATGATGTTTAATAGAAATAGTATCTGCTGGGTGTGATGGCTCATGCCTTTAATCGCAGCACTCCAGAGACAGAATCAGGTGGATCTCTCTGGGTTTGAGACCAGCCTGTATGCATAATAAGTTCCAGGATGGCCAGGAATAAACAAAAAGTAGTATTGCTACTCCTAGCTTTCTTTAATTGAGGCCCACAATGAATTCCTGTTTTTAAATTTATTTTTAAGTATTCACATGTCAGTATGTTTGTTTGTGGGTGTATGCACATAAGTCAGGTGCCAGGAGAATACAGAGGCAATGGGGAGTCTTGAAGCTGGAGTTACAAGCAGTTATCATTATCAAATGTGGGTGCTGAGAACAAAACTCAGGTCCTTTGCTAAATCTCTGTTAACTGCTTAGCCGTCTCCCCAGCCTCACAAAGAAAATTTCAATTTCCACGCTAAGTTGGGTAAAATCCCTGAACAGGCTACTTATCCTAGTTATGGATAGCTTCTCTCATTTAAAGGCTGAAAAAGGCTTCCCAGTGTATACAAAGCCAGCTAGGCTTGGATACAGTATTGATTATGGGGCAAAAGCAAAATTAGGAACTGTTCATAGCGATAACCACAAGACCTGAGCATCTAAAACCAGCTGTGTCAAATAAGGCACCTTACCCACTGAAAAGGGCATGAAAGCTTCTTTCTTGACAAAGCTGCCCTTGGAGCTGAGGAAATGAGCAGGGTTAAAAGTGTCTGGTGTTTCCCACTGTGTTGGATCCCGAAGTACCGACGTCAACAAGGTGATGACCTCTGTGCCCTAGAAATGAAAGTTCTGTTAGTGAAAAAGATTCAATTTCTTCCTAAGAGGTTCCTCTCCAATGTATTAGAACCACGTGAGTTCTGGAAGGAAATGCAGTAGTAGGGGAAGACTTTAAGTTCAGTAAGGGGATGTTCATTTTAGTCATTAAAGTTTTCTTTAGCTCCTAACTGAAAGCAGGACCTGGAGATGAGCCTTTAGTCTATGTTGGTTACATGATAACAGCATGTTATTTAGCAGGTCCCTCTATGTGGCCCAGACAAGGCTTGGACTCATGATCTTTAGCCTCCCATGTGCTGGATTTACAGCATGAGATACCACACTCCGCTTGTTAACTTTTAATAAATGAATTTCCAAGTCTGTGCGGGGGAGACTCAGTGGTCCTCACTGGCGATGTAAGTTGCAGGTGAAAGAATACAAATGAAGAACCTGTTAGAAGGTTTGATGGCTCAGTGAAAATTTGCTGTTTTATCCCCAAGGTCCATGACAGTGGATGCCAAATCAAGGAAGATTTATATGGACAGGTTCTAAAACATAAGATTGTCTGCTTTCATATCTTGCTGTGAAACAGCTTTCTGTAAATAAATAGGGTGATTTTAATTGTGTAGGAAAAGACAGTTTGAGAATGAAGCAAACAAAACAAAGTAAAATAATGACTAAAAGCCCTGAGCAAGAGGCAGAGTTCAGACATAAGAATACTTGCTTTGGATGCACAACATTCAAATTTAGTCATCAGGAAATTAATTAGTTAAAGAAAATATTCACTGCCAGGCGGTGGTGGCACACGCCTTTAATCCCAGCACTCGGGAGGCAGAGGCAGGCAGATCTCTGTGAGTTCGAGGCCAGGCTGGACCGACAGCCTCCAAAACAATACAGAGAAACCCTGTCTCGTAAAACAAACAACAACAACAACAACAACAAAAAAAAAAGAAAATATTCACTACTATCTTCTGTGAGGCTTTGAAATATAGTCTTTTGGTTAACTATTTTATCAAATAAGGTCTCTAAATCTTTTTTTACTCAAGTATACAATTGAGTAAAAATATTTTGTTTTGTTTAAAAAGTATGTACTATCACTATCTATCTATCTGTCTGTCTGTCTGTCTATCTATCTATCTATCTATCTATTTACATTCTGTCTAGATTATATGTATACATACTTTCTCTGCCTCATAGCAAACATTATATTTATTTCCCCAAAGAGCTGACTGAGATGTGTCAAGACTGAGCCTACATCCTAGCAGCACAGCATATTAGTTAGATCTCTCTGTATCTGCAACATCCTCTTGACAACAGTGCGTTCTGTGGATCGTAGCACAGTAGGTGGTTAAAACTAAAATCCTACCACTATTCCTTGTGGATCACATTTAATATTACTCTTCTGTTCTCACTTTACCTATGGCTTTAAGACAGGGAGATCCTTCCAATGGTCCTATGTTCATGACTTTTTCCAAAGGATGTGGTAGAGCATTAGGAGATGAGGATAAGGGGGAGGTTCATCCTTATACCAGTGATGTCCCCTTCTAGGGAGTTATGGCACATCAGTCTGTCAGTCTTTGTTCACTCCTCTCAACGCCACCTAAGTTCTCCATACACTCCCCTCAACGCCACCTACTGTCCTCACCAGTTCAATTTAGATGGTACTGGGATGCCTAATCTTGGATGTGAACTGGCAAAACTCTTCTCTTAACAAGTTAGCTGCCTTGTATATTTTATTATAGGGATGTGAAGCTGACCACTGCCTCGTTGCTTGACTTTGATTTTTTGTTTCACTGTTCATTGGATTAACTCAGCTCAGTAGTGTACCTAATACTGCCTGAGAAGCAAAGCTCCAAATGGGAGCTTAATCTTCTTGTTCAGCGAGTATTTCCAGAGTGGAATGCAGCAGTGTAGGGAAAAGAACTCTGAATAACTAGTAGCTTCATGGCTTTGTGCAGACACGGCCCACCAGCAGTGATCAGACCAGGTACTGAGGAAAAGAGCTGGTGCCACGTGCCTATCACAACCTTCTGGTCATGCTTGCCTTCAGTCTACGTTTAGGAAGGTATACATACATGTCTTCCATTTTCCATCGGAACTCAAAGGTTTGCATGAAGTCAATGCCAAGGAATCAATCAGTATGCTTGATTCCATGGGAGGATGTGATTGAAGCATGGGGGTGCTGATGTAAGAGCCTTCCTAGAAAAACTCAGGACTCTGATCATGGCAGCTTACGTGGAACCCTGGCTCATTCAGAGAACACCTTACATCCCAGAAAAGGTCTAAATCCCCTGAATTCCATTTTTCCCTCAGTTATAACTTAAAAATAAGATAATATGTTAAAGTCTTAGGGAATAGTTGTCATCAGTTGCACACATGCACGCACACATACACACACATTCACACACATTTTCAGCTATCTTATTTTGGATGATGGGGAGGGAGGCAAGGGAAAAGAGAGTAAAAGGAGAGGGAGCAGGGTGGGCAGGAGAAAGGTGGACCAAGACTGCAACTGGACTTCAATCTCAGTGCTTCTACCATTATAAACATCTGAAGTATACTCTCTCCTCTCTTCTGCGTCAGCCCTTACCTTTGCAATATAGTAGTTCTTAAATATAACATCTGTGGTTGTCTCATGGGGCAAGCTGATGGGCAGTATGTCAGCAACCCTCTGTATTTCATGAACTACAGCATCTGTGTAGGGCATTTGAGTTCGGTGCTCAATCCGAGGCTGAGCCGAGCCCACAACTTTGACGATCTCATCATGGACCTTCTCTGCATACAATGCAATTAGAGGTTAGCATTCTGCCTGGACATGGATTCAAATGATTTTACATGTTTTCTTTACATATGAAAGTCAAAACCAAATGTTCTCCCAATTTGGGGGCTTTCTCCATCATTTTTCCTGCTTCTTACTTCTGTTCCTAAGGCGTCTCTTTGAACGAGCTTGGGAAGATTTCAGACCATCTCAGGGTGCTTAAAGAGCATACCTTAAAGGTTTATTTGGTTTTCAAGTGTGTGTGTGTGTGTGTCTGTGTGTGTGTGTTTGTGGTTCTGTGAATGGAAGTTCAGGAGCCCATGGAGTACAGAAGAAAGTGCCTTTGGAGCTACAGTTGTGATTCTCCTGGTGTGCAAACTGAGAACTGATCCTTGACAAGAGCAGTATACACACTTAATTGCTGAGCCATCTCTCCATCCCCAAAGCTCCCTTTCTCATTCTCAAAGGAAACCAGCCACACAAACTATTGTCAAGGCCACAATTTACAGGTATCCAGAATGACTAGACTTCTGCATCTTTGATTCCTAGAAACTTTTGTTTTCCTTCACTTGGGAAATGCTCTGAATCTTAGATACTCACCCTGGACCTCAGGGTATCGCATCATGAGTATGATTCCCCAGCGCAGTGTGGAGGCTGTGGTCTCTGTTCCTGCTGCAAACAGATTACTAACAAGGGCTAACAAATTTTCTTCATTGAAATAGTCAGCAGATATATGATTTTCCTAAAATGGTAAAATGTCATTAGTCATGGAATGATTTAACAATGGTTAATTGTAAAAGATTACCATTAATTAGAAACAGCAGTTATTTCATTCTCCAACTTAGAGGAATTCCCTTTTATCATGCAGCTGTCATACAGAACTTGAGAGTAGAGAATGTATCCCAGATACTAACAGTGGAAAATAAATCTGAACATAACAAAGGCTGTTTTTCTTTAGGAAGGTTACAAGTTGTATTTAATTGAGTTACTAAAACATTCCCCACATTTTTGTAGTATTGTGAAATACCATATTAATTCTCTTTAAATTTTTAAAAAAATTATTTGTTTTTGAATCCCTATCACAGTTCCCCCTCCCTCCTCTTCTCCCTCTCCCCTCCCTCCCTCCTCCACCTCCCATCTGCTCTTTGGAGAGGGTAAGGTCTCCCGTAGGAAGTCTAGTAAGTCTATCCCATTATCTCACTGAGGTAGGACCAAGTCACCATTCCACCCCATACACCCATGTGGCTAGACTGAGCAAGGTATCTCTCCATATAGAATGGGCTCCATGAAGTCAGTTTGAACTTTAGAGTTAGATATTGGACCCACTTTCAGTGGCCTCATATATTGTCCCAGCTGCACCATTGTCACCTATTTAAAGAGAATCTAATTCGGTCTTATGCAGGTTCCCCATTTGTCAGACCTGAGTCAGTGATCTCTCACTAGCTCCGGCCAGCTCATTCTGTGGGTTTCTCCATCATGGTCTTGACTCCTTTGTTCATATTATTGCTCCTCTCTCACTTCAATTGTACTCCAGGAGCTTGGCCCATTGGTTAGTTATGAATTTCTGTATCTGCTTCCATCTCGTTCTGGAAGAGGGTTCTAACTTCTCTGGGGTTACAGATTGTAGGCAGGGTATCTTTTGCTTTATGTCTACTATCCATTTATAAGTGAGTACATACTATGTTTGTGTTTCTGGTTTTGGGTTACTTCACTTAGGATGTTTTATTTCTAGTTCTGTGCTTTTGCCTGCAAATTTTAGAATATCCATTATTTCTTACAGCTGAGTAGTACTCCATTGTGTAAATATACCACATTTTCTTTATCCCTTCTTCAGTTGAGGGGCATCTAGGTTGCTTCCAAGCTCTGGCTATTATGAATTATGTTGCTATGAACATAGCTGAGCAAATGTTCTTATGGTGTGAATATTAATTCTCTTTAAAAATTTCCTCTTTTAAAAATTTATATTTCTCTTTTAAAGTTTTAACAAAATAGTCTTTCTCAGATTTAGCAGCTGAAATACCAAGATTGTCAAAACAGAATATTTTAAAAGACTAATATAAAAGATCTTTATATCTTTCCCCGCAGAGAATATGGGAAATGTATGCACAGTGTAACATATAGCATTTTCAGTCTATAAAAGACCTGCTATTATCCTGAGTCCAGTCATCTATCTTCTTGGAAGGAATGTTTTGTTTCTAGAAGCGGTTAAATTAATGCTAAATGTTGGCTAAAGAATCCTCTGAGAAAACACCATTACCTCCTGCTGTCTGAGCAGAAAGGCATCAATGAGACTTCTGGGATCATTTTTGTCAAGATTATGTCGGTGTTCTAGTAAGGTCATCCTTATGAAGGAAAATAATTCATCTCTGTTCCTTAGGACCTTCTTGTGGCTTCTTAGGAGAAATCCCAAAACAGGAAACATATTAAAAAGCTAAAGGAATATAAAAAAATACTTTAAACTAGTTGGAACAATGGATGTGATAATAATATTATTGAAAAATTACAGAAATAACATTTTTAGTTTTGCCTCAGCTAACAATGATAACCATGATCACTACATAGTGATGCTTTTTCATTTGCCAGGATTAAGCAATCAACAATGAATTCATAAACAGCTTATAAGTTCTATCTATGCAGAGTAAAAGTATTTTGTTTAATGTATTTGCGGGATAATGTAATTACAGATAATATAGTATACAACAATAATATCAGCTTTATGTTGACAGTGATAAACCCAGTGTTTTTCTAAAAAAAAAAAAACCTTATGTGAGTCCTGGTAAACAACTGCATTATTTTAATTCTAAACAGCGCAATAAATTTACTTGAGTTTTCAGTAGAATCATAGAAATGCTCCAGTTTGTAACAGATGTCATCTGTAGACCCTGTCTTGAAGTATCACTTTATCAAGTCATCCCCAACACTTAAAAATATTCAAGGAAGATGTTAGGGACATCTGTATTATGTGTTATAAGGCCACTCTTGAACTCCTTGATGTAGAAAAGGTCTACCAGGTACACTGATTTACTAACTTAAGCTCACACACACTCCATTAGTGGTTGGTTTGTTCTCAGTTAACCACTGTTTAAGGTGGCAGCCCTACTGGCCTCTATATACAAAGAAGTTGGAATGTTTGGCAGACCCACCCCTAAAGAGCCTGCCATTGGTAGCTTCACTCCAAAAAGGCATTGAGAGCTTCCACTTCTGGATTTACCTCGTGTTTCCTGGTTTTCTGTTCCCCTGGGGTCACCTCAGACTGTTTTGCTCAAATTAAACCTTGATCTATTAATTCTATCTGATTGATTTATTGTACCACCAGTGGTGGGTTTCCGTTAACCTTTCCATTAACTAGGATTTTTAAACCTAACAACAATCTCCCAATCCATATGCCCCTGGAAGAGTACAAGGTTGGTACCAACTGAAGACAACTAGATTTCAAGAAGTTCTCAGCTCATATGTCTAGGGAATGCAGGAAGAATGCAAGGGATGCTGACAAGAGAGACAACAGAAGTCTCAAAAACATGCTGGATCTCTTGATCAGAGAGGCAAGGCTGAGCACTGGAAGACTGACTGCCTTTGTCCCTCTCCATTCCCTCTTCTCCCTATTTAATCTGCTGACTGGAGATGAGATGGGAGACAGTCTTTAGGATGTTAATGGCTCTCTGAATAAAGCTAATTTTAAAGATTCAATACTTGTCTTTTTTTTAATCTGAAACTGATGGGCAGCAAGTTTTGACACTCCAGGTAAAACTTTGCCGTTTCCTAAATTTTTCAATATACTTATTTTTAGTTAGCTAAGATCTGATATTTAGCCACCTTCTCAAAGGAGCTCAGGCCTTTGAACAAAGAGGCAAAAGATTTCATCTAAGGTTGTATGATACAGCTGCCTGTGTCTGTCCTAAGCACTAGTATTGAGAGGTGATCTGCATTTATAGTAAAAGCCTAAATTGAAATGATATGGTTGGCTGTATTGGTATTATTCAAAATTTTACAAACCTTGGATCTAGAAGATGTAAATTTTAAATATATATATATATCACATGATTTATCACATGGTTTTTCATCTGTATCTCTATGCTCCACTTGTATGCCTGGTGCCTACAAAGGTCAGAAGAGCACATCTGATCCCATGGAATTGGAGTTACAGCTGACTGTAACCCACCTTGTGGGTTCTGGAAATGGAACTAGGACCCTCTGGAATAGCAGCCAGTGCTATTATCTCAGTATCCATCTCTCCAACCCCCAGAAACCGAACATACAATGATAAAAGAATCAGGTTGCAGAGCCATTGTGAGCATATGCAGATAGACATAAACATTGAGGTAGCATTTAGTTGAACACTTTCTTTCTCTTTAATATGCTTGTTAGTTCTTCTTGTTAGAACCCTCATTCCTAACTGAATTCTACTATATATTTCTTATTTAATTGATGCTTAGTTCATATCCCACAAATGGTTGTTGTTGTAGGCAAATGATAAATGGTTACAGTTATGAGACAGACCAAAGCCATACAACCTTAGCGTGACTCACATTCCACATTGCAGAGCTTTGTGGTGAGAGAATCATCATGTAAGTTAGATAAGCATGTTTGTCATGCCATTATACTTAGAATGCATTACCACCCTTTGCATAGTCTCTTGAACAATCAAGTGTACCTCAGAGGAACAAAATCAAAAAAGGAAAAGTACAGTTACCACAATTCTTGGGCTTCCAACGAGTTTCACATTTTCACCAATTAAGGTTAAGAGTCTCAAGAACTGGGGGTCTTGGTAGTCAAACCGTTTCCCGAACAACACGGACACAATGACGTTAGCAACAGAAGCATTCAGCACTTTCTTGATCTCAAAGGGTTTTCCTAGAACACAATTCATCGAGCAGGTCAAGAATAGTCACACACACAGCACTAAGCTACTTCCAGACTGATGGTGGCTGCCTTTCCAGTGAGGAGTTTCGTAGAAGGATTATCTATGATAGTGTCTTTCAATAACAGCTTTGGCTAATGGCCAGAAGTTGCCGCACATGTTCAGATGGCCACAAAGAAAATGAAATGGAAATGGGAAGGAGAAGCGAGCATTGAGCTCAGCTAAAGAAAGAACAATGTGGCAGAGGTGTCTTGACGTTGGTGTGCACAGCTTTGTAGTGCAGTGTGTGAGAGACACTTATTAATGCACAGTGGATGGGAAAATACCATTCACTCTCATAGGGTGCATTGCAGTTTGGGGTAGAACATTCTATTCTACTACATTTTGATGTTTTCTGTATTGGTGATATCTACCCAGAGCGTGAAATCAGACTTGATTTCACAGGTCTGTATCTGTGTAACAAGGAAGGCTGAGGTAGGAAGGAAGAAAGAAAGAAAGAAATGCAAAGAGGCCTGGAGCTGCCTGATTGCCGGGCATCATTTGGGATCTAGCTTGGTATCTGTTGGAACACCTCTAATTGCTATTAGTTGCTAATCATCTTTTCAAGTTCCCTAGTCTGTGATTGGTGCTACCTTTTACTAATGAATACATTTCTTGTCTGGACAAAGCTAAGGACCTCCATTTCAATAATGGATGAGAAAGCATTATAGCATAAGTTAGTTCAGATAAAGTTCTGATAAAAAGGAAATATGATAATGTTCTGGAAAACTCAGCCTTCAGGGGTAGAGGCTCTCAGGCATTTCCTACTGAGCCAGCCTTCTTTCTGACTTCTCCCTTCATGAGCTTAACTCTGGTGGCTCCTCTATCAGCCACCTCCTGGCTGCTGTCCAAGTGGAAGGCTTGTCTGCTCTGTTGCCCAAAGCACCTTTTATCTGTTCTTGAATTAACGCCAGTTTTTTCTTCCTTTTCTTTTTTTAATCTTTTTTTTAAAATTTAAATTGGAAACAAGCTTGTTTTACATGTCAATCCCAGTTCCCTCCCTCTCCCCTCCTCCTCTACCGCCCGCCCACCGACTCCCATCCTATCCCTTTTCTGCTCCCCAGGGAGGGAGAGGCTTTCATGGCTGTTCTTCCAAGACTGTCATATGATTTGGAGCAGGGCCTAGACCCTCCCCTGTGTGCCTAGGCTGAGAAAGTATCCCTCTATGTGGAGTGGGCTCCCAAAGTCCATTCGTGTACTAAGGATAAATACTGATCCACTTCTAGAGGCCCCAAAGATCAACCAGACCTCTGAAGTGACATCCATGTTCAGGGGGTTGGAGACAATCCTATGCTAGTTTTCCAGCTATCAGGCTGGGATCCATGAGCTCCCCATTGTTCAGGTCAGCTGTTTCTGTGGGTTTCTCCAGCCTAGTCCTGACACCTTTGCTCATCACTCCTCCCTCTCAGCAAGTGGATTCCAGGAGTTCAGCTCAATGTTTAGCTGTGGGTGTCTGTTTCTGCTTCCATCAACTATTGGATGAAGGCTCTAGAATGGCATGTAAGGTAGTCATCAATGTCATTATCAGAGAAGAGCATTTGAGGTAGCCTCTCCATTATTGCTTATACTGTTAGTTGGGGTCAACATTGTAGATCTCTGTATATTTCCCTAGGGCCAGATTTCTCTTTAAACCTATGATGGCTCCCTGTATTATGGTATCTCTTTTCTTGCTCTCTTTTATTCTTCCCCTGACTCAATCTTCTTGTTCTCTCATGTCCTCCCTTTCCCTCCTCTTCTCCCCTTCTCTTAACTCCCTTTCCCCTCCCCCCATGCTCCCAATTAACTCAGGAGATCTTGTCCCTTTCCCCTTCTCTGGGAGACCATGTATGTCTCTTTAAGGGTCCTCCTTGTTTCTTAGCTTCTCTGGCAGTGTGGATTTTAGGCTGGTAATCTTTTGCTCTATGTCTAAAATTCAAATATGAGTGAGTACATACCATACTTGTCTTTTTCTGACTGGGTTACTTCACTCTCATTGGCCAGTTTTTAAATTCCTTTATGTTGGAGAATGAAAACCCGAAAATGTTATTGTGTGTCCCCAGATGCTGTATATTATGTCAAAGTCAATTTATTGGTATGTAAAGACTGTATTACTGTTACAAGAACATTATTATACATTATTTGAGAATAATATGTAAAGACTATGTAAATAATGCTATGTAGATTATTACTGTTACAATAACATTATTGTACATTGTTTGAGGACAGCATGTTTTCAAAATGCTTTCAAACAGTTCAAGGTTTATTTTATATAAAGTGGATTATAATAGATTCCTATAAGCAGGGGAAATAAAGGAAAGAGAAGGAGGCAAGGAGGGACAGGGAGAGGAAAAGCAAGAGGGAGAGGGAGGGAAGTAAGGAAAGAGGGGAGGGAGGGAGAAGGAGAGAATGAGAGAAAATTTGACATACATGATCTTGGAGTAGACAGCATTGGATATGGGAATTTGCTACAAGCTAAATTATTTCAAACTATGTGACCTTTTGTTGATTTCCTTCTCATGAAAAATGAAATGTCTTTATTTGCTCTACACACCTTTGTAAGATTCAAAATTCTGTATGAGATGATGGCATTCCTCTATAATTGTGTCTTCTATAATCTGTTTGCCCATGCCAAAGTTCCTTAAGGTGGTCAAGCTGAATCTTCTCATTATTTTCCACGTTTCACCATGAGCAAAGACAATTCCTCAGATAGAAAAGAGTATGTTTAATTTACTTCCAGCAGTGTTAAATTTAGTGCTCAAGGACAAATAAAAATTATAAACAAAAGTTTTGATTTTTTCCCTACCAGAAGTAAGAGAAGAATGGGTTGATGGCATAATCTAATAGTAGTTACCCATCATATTTCAGACCCTAGTTTCTTTTCTCAGCAAGCTAAAAAGAAAAAAAACAATACCTCTCCCAAAGAGTAGAAAGTCTCCCATTTTTCATTTGCTAGAGAATTTACTGTAGAAAACATTCTAGAAACTTTCCATTCTCTTTGAAATACACGCAAATATTTCTGAAAACCAAGCCATCATTTTGTATGGGTGTCTATTTGACCAGAAAGTCTTTCCTAAAGATCTTGAGACAAGTGTGAAATGACCATGGAGATAAGAGCCTTGTTTCCCAGCTCCTATGGGAAGACAGGAGCCTAACCTTAAGGGTGGAACTTGCCCTAATTCACAAAACGAGCTTTTGCCTTAAATATATGATACATTTGATTTTCTTTGTATGAGTCCAATTAACAAAGACAGTATCTTGAGTCCTTGTTATTTCTTTTCTGAGAGTATGTAATGTGAACATCTGTTCCAGTGTGTAAAAGGCATCCTTCCTGATTTTACAGTGGCAGATTGTGAAGCACATTCTTCTCAGTTAGAAGGTATTTTCTTTTTCTAGACATACCACAAAGAATTTTGGGTTGGGAAAACATTTTGTATTTTTTTGTCAATAAGTTCAGTACACAGTTTTTCAGTATCTTATATCAAACTAGGTGTCAATGAGGTGTTAATGAACTATTGCAAACAAATTTATTATTTTCCAGGGAAAAAGACTGGTCCAAAGCATATACAACTATCAAAGAAAAGAGATTGGAATAATAAAACATACTTTATTTAAAAACTTTAACCTATTTGATGTTTAGGAGTCATTACCTTTTCCATTAGAAAGTCTTTCAAATATAGGCACTCGAGAACGCTCTCCAAACTGATTGCCATAATTAATAAGGGCATCTTTCACCGTCTCATAGCCAGAAAGCACCACCACCTTCCTTGGCCCCATATGAATGCTGTAAATGGGGCCATATTTCTTGGAGAGCTTTGGTGTACACAAAAGAAAACAGAGAAACAACTAAAACATCACGGTATAAGAAAAAGTGAAATTGATCATGACCTCTGGACTTTGTTACTAGGGTTACTCCTCCAGTCATCACAGCACCCGGAGCCACTCTGATGACCTAAAGTTGGTGTTCCATGGGCTCTATTTGATTTCAAATTTGAGTGTAAGGCTTGTCTTTTACTACAGAATGCAGGCATGTCTCTCCCTACTATGGTTTTGTTTGCAAACAGAAAATGCCCAGCCAGAGCTCAGGAAAACAAAAGACTTCTTTGACACCACACTGATATGTTCCATTGAATATCTCATTTCTTAGGCTGATCTATGATGTTAGTAGGGCCATTTTCCTTTACTGGTAACATTCTTTATTGAAAGAAACATTGGATATTTTTTAATAATTGAAAAGTAGCAGACACCAGCATATATTACATTCTGACTTATTCTTAGCTCTGTTACATCCTTGCCTGATGTAGATACATCATTGAATAGGAAGGTTATTGCATCTTCATGAGGTCACACAGTAGGTGGAGATGCTCAGAAAAGGCCACACAATCAGTGGCACACTGTCTGAGAGCTTGTGATCTTAACCTCTGGTGAAAGACTGAGATGACAACCTAGAATGCTCCTCTATATATGAAACTTGATTTATTTAGAGTTGCTATGGGAATTGAAGGATGACTCAATGATTTAGAAAATTAGAATAACTAAGATTACTGTTTCAGAAGTAGAAATTAAAGTGGGAATTGGAGAACAGAGTGTCTTGTTTGAGAACTACTTTCATAGAGTAGATTAGCTCATATCAGAAAAACAATTCAAGGATAAGAGTAATATAAAAAAGTGCAGGTTATGGAAAAGGATTGAGATCTCCCTTTTTGTAGGCAGAAATAGTTCAAAACAATGGCATAACTGTGGAAACGAGAAAGAAAATGAAAGAACATGTAAAGAATTTAGGCTGGTTAATACACAAGCAAAGAGCAGGAGTAGTGTAAAGATAAAGTTGAGGAACACATAATCAGATGAAGGGATTTGTTGAAGGAAGATCTCATGCTTATGAAGAATTATCCTGATTTTGGATTGTAGGATGAGGGGCCACAAAATTGTTTTAGGTAATGGTTTTGTTTCTAGAAAGTTAATTTCTGTGAAGTATATTTATCTGTAAAATGGAGATAAAAATGACATCTTATTTTCCCCCAGGTTAGTTAGGAGGAGTATGTTAAATCCCTGTGTTGATTTATCAAATAAAAAAGCATAAAAGAAAATTTAAAGTGTTCTATTTTTGTGCTGATTTAGGTAAAACTATAGTTTTTTCTTCAATACCTTGTCCCCTAAGATTTTAAAGTTAAAATGTTACAAATTCTATGAAAGCTCAACTCTAAAATACTTTAGAAATTAAAGTTTAAATTTTATAGTCAGTTTGCCACCTCCAAAATGTTAGCATTATTCATCCCTGTAACCAATAACCATAGGTTTTCTTTTTCAGTGAGAAGCTGGAGAAATTTAGACCAATTTTTGCACTAGCTCTGTAAACTGGCAGACAGTGACACAAAAGACAGAAGCTGAACTCATTCATCAGATTAACAGAAGACCTAGATCTAAACTGTTGGATTCATAATATAGATTTTATCTTATTTATGATAGAGTTTTGAGTAGTTAACTTGAAATTTGCAGATAAATCAATGATCAAAACTTAGTTGTTTTGTAGTAGGTCATATATGAAAACAATCTAGACCAAAACATTTGAGGTGATGATTATATGCCATAAATACTTCAGAATAAAATTGCCACCTAGGTCCTTGAATCATATTAGCTAATTTACACACACACACACACACACACACAAAGAAGCTCTGTTAATTTTGAAATCTGATAACCCCAATATATATGCATATATATACATATATGAACTATTGTTAGCACATGTAAAATAATAGGTATCTCAGGTCAAGAATGATGTGGCAAGACCCCCCCCACACACATACACACACTCCAGGTGAATGAACATGTATGCTACTATGCCTTTATGTCTTACCTCTAACATGGTTTGATATGGTCTCCTCAGGTTGAGTATGTGTAGATTTCCAATAAGTGGCCAAGGTTTGGGTCCTGGAGGAGACTGTAGTTTGGATGCTTTAGCCATAAAGACTTTAATATTTAAAATAAAAATGATAATAAATCCCAGAAGTGCAAGTATAGCAGAAGAATCAAACCCACTCATTATCTTAAACTGATGCAATTATACAGAATTAGAGATCTTTCCAGTTACGAACAGATAGAACCAACGTTTCTGATGAAAACCAAAGACTTCAAGGTGTTGCTAAATTTATTATAGTCATTGTCTTTCACCTATTTTATAAATAAGCCGAGATAAACCCTGTTCTGCATCCTTGACCTGTTTTGGTCTTTTACTTTTCCCCTTTTGCCTCCTAGTTCAACCTGTTCTGTCCAATAAAACCTGGAAGGATTTTCTTTTCAGGTAAAACTGGGATTAATCTCATGTTTCCTGATAGATAATACAAGCTTAATCCTAAACATGAAGTCCGCATTTCCACCATGAGATCAGTTGCATTGTTTGGTAAGTAGAGTGCAGTATGATCTCTGCATGGGTGGTTACATGTTGTGAAAGCTGCATGGAAAGCTTCAAGTTTCGTAGAGTGTTACGTGATCTTTAGCCCCTTTAATGCCCTGGACAGGCACTTAGTTGAAGCTTAGTAAGTACTGAGGACAGACTCTAGTTCAGGTCTCCAGTAAAGTAATCTCTTCTAAAAATCTCTTCGGAGATTGGAGCCACTAGAAGGAAATGGAGGGAAATAATGGTGTGTGGACACTGTGTTGTATAATGTATGTTGAACAGTGTTATAGAACTTTTAAAGAAAATAGCTGAATATTTTATTAGTGTATTCTAATTCTAATAATTGGCATTACTTTTATAATAGAATACAGTTTGATCACATCCTTCTTCCCAGTTGCCCTCTCTTTTACTCCCTCCCACCTCTTACTGGCTCCCTCCTCTGTCTAAATAGATCTCCTTCTACTTCATGTCTTTAAAAAAGATTCAGATTCTTTACATGAGGGAAAGAGTTAGTATTTCTTTCTGAGTCTTGTTTATTTTAATTAACATTATGATATTTTATTACATTCATATTTTATTCTATGTCTAAGTAATAGTTTATTTATTTTTTATATTTTTTAATTTAAATTAGAAACAAGGTTGCTTCACATGTCAATTCCAGCTCCCTCTCCCTCCCCTCCTCCCACACACCCTCACCAACCTCCAGTCCCCCACCCAATCTCTACTCTGTTCCCCAGGGAGGGTGAGGCCCTCCATGGGGGATATCCAGTCAGTCATTTCATTCAGGGCATACTTTATTATGTATGCATATTGCATTTCTTCGTTCTTTCTGCTTTCTTCCTCCTTCCCTTCCTCCTCTTTTTCCATCTTTCTCTCACTCTCTCTTCTTCTCTCCACCCCTCTCTCTCTTTGTTTTTACATTTTATTTGTCTGCATACTGTGTGAAGGTCAGAGTACTGCTAGTGGTAGGCGATTTCCTCCTACCACATGGATCCTGGGGTCATCAGATTTGGCAGTAGACCCTTTTCCCACCGAGTCATCTCAATGACCTTCATTCTGCGTTTGCTTTATCTATTTACATGCTTATGGTACCAAGGGCGATTGTGCAACTCAATTATCATGAATAATGACAACAAACATGGGTTATCTATTGCATTCTGACATTGGCTCCTTTAGGTGTGCATCCAAGAGTGGATAGCTGTGTCATATGAACTTGCTATACAGCCCACACTGAACTTAAACTGCCACCCTTCCTGTCTCAGCCTATGGAGTGCTGGGGTTACAGGTGTGCACTACTGGTCGGTTTATATAACCTTTATCGAACCTTTACTTCTCAGTTGATACATAAAAATGCTAACAGCACAGTATACAGTAAGTAGATTGTTGAGATGGATACTGAATATGCAGCCCCTGGTGTATACTGAAGGTCCAGTATCTTCCATCCATCCAGTTCCTTTCACTGACAAGCTCTCTTGTTTACGTCTTCATTCTTTTCTCAAGAGGAACCTTTCCTACTGTCACCATATTTGCCAGCTTTCTTTGTGCTTTGAACCCAAGGGAAGCTCTTTCTAGTTCAGTTGCTCAAGAAAGAATTGCGCATTTTTCCTTTCTGTGTCAGAACTGTGAAAAGAAAGTTGGTTAACAGACTTCAGTGACCAACCCTTTGCACCTTGATGGCATTCTCTCTTGTTCCACCATGGTTCATGTTTAATTTATCTTTTTTTCTCTGAATCAAACCAAATCCTTAAAAGTGAGGATGTTTCCTTTTTACTTTTAATTTCATTTATTGCATATTTTTTGTTTTTGAGAAAAGATCTTACTTTGTGTCCTTTGCTGGCCTGGAACTCTCTATGTAGACTAGACTGGCCTGGGATTCACAGAGATCCGCCTGTCTCTGTCTCCTGAGGTCCAAGTATGGTGACTAAATACATGCACCACCATGCACAGCTGCTTTCTTTTTTAATGTTGAATCCCCAACTCCACAGTGCTTAGGACAGGACTCAGGCCTCAATGAATAGTTAGATTAAAAATTGAATGAATGGTTGATGCACTTCACACTTTTTGAACTGAGAAGGATCATGTGACCATATAAAACAAATTCTGCCACTGTTTGGGTGAAGACAAAGAGATTCAGGAGACTAGGTGAATATATGGTTAGCTATTTATTTAAGCAGGACTGCAATTATGACTTAAATCTGTTCCTTCTATGATGCTCTGTTTATCACATGGTTTAGTGACAGGATACTAAATCTTCCTCACACCAGGCTAAAAGTCCTTCTGTTTGGGAAGACTTTGAACTGCTAGATCTAAGTCTCAGACATCCACATTTGTCAATTCATGTTGAAAATCTTTTCAATCAAGTCTTGGACATTTGAACAGTTTATAAGAGGCTGTTGGGCTGGAGAGATGGCTCAGAGCTTAAGAGCACTGGTTGCTCTTCCAGAGGTCCTGAGTTCAATTCCCAGCAACCACATAGTGGCTCACAACCATCTGTAATGAGATCTGGTGCCCTCTTCTGGCCTGTAGTGATACATGCAGACAGAACACTGTACAATAAAAGAGGCTGTTACAGGCACAAAGCAAAGAATAGCACTTCTTTATACAGAATATACTACATACAAATAATACTGCTATTTATTGTGACCATACTATGTTTATTCAATGGTACAAGTAAGGAAATGGAGGTTTTAAGGAGTTGAGTGTTCTGATCAAGGTCAGGATTGAGGTTCATCTGAACTGAATGCTCTCGCTCTCTGTGACAATATGCTAGCTCCCAGTCCCGGTGGTGAACACATCTGGCTCACATCTGACCATGATTAATGTAGCACCTGGAGACTGGCTGTGACAGATAACCAAGAGATATGGCCATAACTGTTTCTTAATTGCTCCTAAGAATGTGCAGGATAATTGCTAGATATTATCAGTGATATTTCCTGGCATCTATGCATGTCAGTTAAGGAAGCTAGGTGTTTCACGTTTTGACTATTATTAACTCTCCAAGAAAAGGAATAAAATCTCTGACTGTAACTTTGTATATATTCTCAAGACTCCAAATGGGAGAGGATACATGTTACCTGCCAAGGGCTGACATATAAAATGAAAGAGACTGGTAGGAGGAAACTTTGGGACCTCTTGTCCATGTCTGCATGGGTTGTTTCCTCCAAGTGTGACTGTATCATAGTCTTATAACTTCAGCCATACTGAAATCCATAAGAGGTAGTCACAAGACTTGGTCAAGTATAGAGTAACAGGCCACAGAACTGCCTGGATATAAACTACTGAACCAAAAAGTTTCAGGGCTAACTGTGGTGACTTAGGTAAAGTTATCCAATTGTCTTCATATTTTTCTTTTCTCATTAAAAAATGTTTGTAAGTGATCCCAAAGTTCTTTTTGCACTTCCTTTTTATGTTTTAAAGTGATGCCATAATGCTATGGAGGCCGTCTGGTTATTTATCAATGTCTACTCATTATCACCTTTCAGACATAGGTTTTTTCTGCATTCATAATGTATGTCCAAAAGCTTTTCTCTCATGAGCTCCAAATATTCTACCTTGGTAATGATTTTTGGCTATAGAAAGCGTCTGTTGCAGCAGAGTGATTCAAAATACGACCTTTGACAGATTTGAATTTGAACTCAAATTCTGCCTTTTCTTAGGCCACTTGTGACAAAGTATTGTACCTGTCTGTGGCTCAATATGAAATATGATTCATCCGGAATCATAGTTACCAAAACTGAAATACATTAAAATAATGTGATTTACTGGCCAGTTGTCAGCCTGTTATGAAATCACTTCACAGTTTCAGGGCTAAATAAACAAATTTCCAATGTAAAACATGGGCATTTTGACTCTGCATCTTATAGGTTGTATATTATATAAGTTAATTCCTTATAAAGTGTGCTTTAATTGTTATTAATCTCTCTTTCACATGTCTAAGACTGTATAAGCTATAAAACTCTAACATTTTCATTTAACCAATTATTTCTGTAAACTTCCTCTGTAATTTATCTTACTGTGGGTTTTGGAGATAACTTAGAGGCATGCACATGGTAGGCAAACACTGTTAACTGATCTCTCTCTGAAGCAGGCCATCTGTAGTGGACTAGAAGGTCAAATATTACTAAGACTGGCAAGTGTAATTAGATTTTAGGTTCTCCAGTAATCTTTAAAAATGAAGAATATACCCTGTTATTCACAAATATCAATTAGCTGGGCTTCTGTGTGTATTTGTTTACCCTTGATGAGTCCCTGTATATGTAAATGTTTTTGTTCTTGTGAATTTTAGCCTAATTTAATTAACATACTTATGTTGCACAGTCTATCTATGCTTGACATTCAAGAGCATCTACCAAATTAAAATAGATCAATGTAGTAAAGTGAGATTTTAATCATAGTGATTATTATAAACAAGAGAGAGGGATTACTGCCACAAGAGGCAGGACTGTTGAAATAGGGAGGGAGATACTTTGACTAATGGTGTACAGATGTTTAAGTAACCAGAGTGGAAAGAGTTGGGTGTACAGGATAAACCAGTAGAAAGACTGAATGGTAGGTCAGAGTGTATGCTA